CCAGATTTCGTGAGAATCGCTCACGGTTGGAGGAGGTGGTGACTCGACTGACCCGACAAAAAGAGGAAGCAGAACGAACTGTCAAGCGATGTGAGGTGCGTACTCATCTGGGTGCCTTAAGCTTCCTTTCCGCTTAGTCATTCCCCACTCCCTACCACTGATTTCCGTTCCGCCAAAGTATTGTATTCAATGCTTCCTCTTTGATGTTTCATGACCTGGACTGGAACCTCTGTTTCCCGCTGCTTTCAATCCCTTAGACTGAGTGCGTTCGCCTGCTTGCGGATGTTGCAGCCCTCACCGCGGAGGCCGAGCGTTCGCAGCAGCGTGCCCGCTCTACCGGTCCATCTGACGCAGAACAGAAGCGGTTCGAAGCCGAATTGTCTAAACTGGAAAAAACCGTCAAACAGAAGGTCGACCTAGCTTCGAAAAAGCGCATGGAGGCCGAATCGCTGAAAGCCCAACTGCTGGATGTAGGGTCGGCCCGTTTGACCGCGGTTCGCAGTCGTTTAGACGCCATTGAGAAAAAGACAAAAGAGGTTCGTTTCCATCTTGTCTGGGGCTTTGTGAACTCTTTGTGTCACTAATCCGATCACTAATCCTACCTTACACTACTTTTTTTCCAATTAGACCAACGATCAGTTGACCAAGCTCCAAGTTGGCGTCAAAACAGCTGCGAGGAACTTTGAAAAATCCAAATCAAAAGTTGCCAGCATCGAAGCAGAATTAGAAGCGGCGAAACAGAAACTCACGGATGTGGATGCCAAACTGAAGGATTTAGAGGAGGAAGCCCGGACCTGCATGGATGAGTTCAAAAAGATCCAAGCAGACGTAAATGTCTATTTTTCACTTGGTTTATGTCCTTTCCATATTTCTACCGTTTATGCATACATGGCGACTCTAGTGAAATCTGTTGTCAGAACCTTTGATGGGTTAGTTAGTCGACTGATTGAAAATATCCATTGGTGAACATCCTGAGGTTGACCACACTGCTCATAACCCCTTTTAGGCGAGTAATTGATATTCGTTCAGAAGGAAGCGTAGATGGTTCAGTTGTAGATTGGTATCTTTGAACCCGAGACCTCATCATCAGAATCCTCCTTGTCTCCAGCTTACTAATTGTTCGCACCAACAGTTTAAACAACGACGTTTCTCTCCCAAAACGGTCACTTTGGACACCTGGTTGTCTTCAATCCCATTGTAACCAAAAATAGATTTTTGCACCAACACCATGTCACCTGGATGTTCTGACCGAAGTGTTGCACGACTTGTGATCTTCATGGCTTGCGTGCCTCCTCTGGCACCTCTTACCTCTGTTGATTAAAAATATGGAACTAAATCCACCAGTGCGACTCACGGCCGGACAGTGGTAATCAATCAACACAGGTAAAAATCCACCAGAAAGATGAATTCGCATATTTTTGTAAGCATAAATTCTATTTCGTTGCAAGGCACTTAGCGAGAAGCATCAGGTAAAATGACATTACTAGGTCAGTTAAATTCGACACTATTGTATGTACATATATATATAGATATATATATATATATATAGACGAACCTTATGGTTGTACGGCAGTGAAGCATCGATGCCAACACTGATGTTGCTGTCTTTGATGAGGATGATGATGATGATGACACTCATTTGAAAACTAATTTGGTTTTTCGAGAGACTCACCTGGAACACAGCTGAATCTCTCGTTTGTACTTAGCTTAGGCAACTGAATGTGCTGCGCCAGGCCGCCTCATGTTTCGGTCGCTACGATATTCGAGATATCGCGATACATGTATAGTAATGTGCTGCGCCAGGCCGCCTCATGTTTCGGTCGCTACGATATTCGAGATATCGCGATACATGTATATCTTTGTAATGTGTACTCATAAGTTATGTTCTACTTGAAACCAAATTACACATCTTTTTCATTTTCTGAATGCTCTCCATTATCAGCATGGTAGTGTGTCAGCTTTTTATGGCAATCAAGCACCAAGATGTGTTACTGGTGTACTGCAATCAATGATGATTATTGTCGGAATGGCCGTTCATTGCCAGTGGCTTCCTGTTAGATACTGTCGAGCTAGAGGATCCCGTTGATAATGATGGACTGAACGGCTGCATTATGGTCTGTGTGATCTTGAAGTAAACAAGATTGACAAGCGAGCTTGCACAAATACATAGTTGTAATAGAATTGCATAACTCAAAATGAGCAGCCAACCTTGACTGAAGCCCTTCACATGATCCGAATCAGCTGGCTTGCAGTCGGTGGCTTCTGAATAACACTGTATGAACACTCCTGTTGAGATTTCGTACTGGGTGAGAACAAAAGACATTGATCATACACCTAATGAAAACACTCATTACTATCAACACTACACTATCTATCTACGGATTTCGATGGGTAAGGCCTTAGAGCTGCTGCAGCAGACAATACCTCCCGACCGCCCAGGCGGAAGAAGGAAATTGGTTAGGATGGCTAGGTTGAGCCTCTGGCTCAAAACTATGATCCGCAAAGCATTTGAACACCCTTGTGTTTCAACCGTATTAAATGATTCGTCCGCTGCGATGGTCGCTCATATAATGACCGGTTCAACCACTTCTAGCCAGTTCTTCCCCATGGGAGCAGCAACGCTGCACCCGAAACTTTTGGCAGGACGGAAACTTGGAAGCCACTGCTTTCACGCTGGTATAACTCTGAGAACAATAAAAACAATCATCCATCAAAACCACCCTTTCAGTATGAATCTCCTATGTCACCCGAAGAAAACATGGAGGCTGGGATACTACCAGGTTGCCCAAACCTAGACAGAAATGGTTGAGATGCAGATGTTGGGTTTGAACCATGTACTTTCCGGCTAGTAAATTCCCGCCTTAATCGCTGAGCTGTCTCGGGCTCACGAATCTGATAATCACTGCGTAGGAGAACTTGTGAATGCGAGAATTTAAGGGAACTCGGGAGGCACTAGTCACAAGTAGTCTGATATGAGACAACCAAACGGATATTGACGAGAAAAGGACCAGTGTGAAATTGAGTTGGGGTCACAGTTGGTACGGAAAAAAGTGAATAGAAATGAAAGGTGTAAAAGATAGGGAGATATATGGGGGTTGAGATCGTTTAGTTTAACTGCGTTTGGTGAATTCGGACGAAGAGTGTTCACAAGGCGAGCGCTGTATGTACTGGTCTGCTTGCGATTGTCCTCTAACACATAAGAAGCGGGTTTTTTGAAGAAGTCTCGTTTGAAATCACATGGATGCAATCAGAAGTGGATGGAGGTAGGCCACTGAAGAAAAGGATTACATATAAAACGGAACCCTATGGGACTCTAGCATTGATACTTTTGGGTCCAGAAACCCAAACAGCTGAAGCAAACCTGAGGAGACCGGTTGGTCACAATGTTTCCCATATGATTGACGAGAAAGCCCCGGGTACACATGGATAGCTTGGAGAAGAGGAGTGTTTGGATCGTCCAGGTGAACCAGTACTGCTTCGTCCGACGAGAACATAGCAGACAATCCAATGTTAGGAACATATGTTTAGGATTCACCGGTGGAAAAGTCACACCTACGTCCATTATTGTGATCACTGAGGATGGGAACGCTTCCAAAATCTAATGGGACTCACTCGGCCAAGATTGACTTTAGAACTTTGCACAAAGTGTAGAGCACCTGTTCGGATCGGTTCAAGATTTACGCATGAGAAAACGATGCGTGAAAAGTTCCCAAAGAACAGGGTGTGACACTAGTGGATAGGATAGGCAGATAAGACAGCGAACTAGAAGAAAAAGTTCTGGAGCAAAATTTCAAGATAGGTAAATTGCCATTTGGACAGATGTGTCAACCAATATTGATTCTTCTGCTAGAGTCCGTAGAGAGTATGTAATCAAGCAAGCCAGGTCGGTCTCTACGATTAATGTCCAGGCTTTCATCCATCCCATCCTGCAGCACCATACTGAACGCAGTGACGAAAACAGCAGCAGGCGCGCGCAGCATCTGCTCCAACGACTGTAGACGTTGTCATTGAACGAGCTCTAATAGGATGCTTTGGCGAATTTGGTTGGTGTTGCCGTTGAATGGCCTAGCAATGCATCAGACATTCAGTGCGCGTGAATGACGCTAACGACCTCATTTACAAGCGTAGTCATTGTGGTTTCGATCACAGCAATCCCTACACATTCGTTCACCAGATCTGGATTCCTTAACAGACTTATTCTGAATTAGGCGTAATTAGCGCTCCTAATCACTATGAACAGGTAAGCCGCGGAATACTGCCCTCTACAGGAGGATACAGTAGCGCCCGACACAACTGCTCACGTAATCTCGACGCCCAATCTACCGGATCTTCGCTCTCTACTGGTAACAAAATCAGAAAAAGTATATTCTTTCGCAATTTTGTGCAGAACTGGTTCCGTCGTCCTATCGGTCAGGGAGCACGAGATGCAGGTCAGCTACCACGTAGGACCACTTTACTCTGTCTACCATCCTTCCTCAAACTGCATGATTGGTCTATGAAAACCAGCAACATCATTCATTTCGTTAATTGAAACCGTCGTCTTAAGCATCTAAAAACGTCACTGTTTTTGGGCCCGTCCTTAGGAAGACGAATGGCGTGAAATACGCATGTTTGTTCAAGCGAGACTAGGAACACAGTTATATCGACGGCAGAATAGCCGAAAACAAAGTTAAACTGAGTCCACCAGATAATGTTTCAAGTGATCGAGATGGCTTCCGTGGATGTGTGTAACCATACGTTAGGTTTCGCTGTCAGGTCGAACTGTTAACAATAACAGATACTGCCAGGTTGCCAAAGCCTAGACAGGAACAGGGAGCTTCCGACCAGAAGGTTTGACCACTAAGATAGCTTGAGGTACTGTCACAAAGCATGGTCAAGCAGGCAGCGTGTCACAGGCTGTGGCCGGTTCATGAGGCCATCTTCGTACGTGATAAGTCCATATCGAGAAAAAATAAAGACGATGTCAGCAAACAATTTATCTCTTAGTATATCCCCTGCGGCAGCATTACCGTCTCCAGCGGGTAATACAGGCAGGTCATCCGTCTGGCGAAACCTACAGTGGACATAAGGGTACATGTTGCGTGGTATACCCTGGAGTGCGTTCCTTGCAAACTGCAGCCTGATGCCCAGCTGCTCTGTGATTGTAACAAGTGCCAGAAAAAGGGAGAGATCGAGCATGTTTTCAGAAATCGTTTCGTTGCCGTGCCAATCTTTTTATTCCCTTGCCCACCCATAGTGGTGTTCAAATCCGAATGGATGTTTAAAACAGGCAGCACTTAAACTGGCAGCAAAAGACTCTCATTCCTGATCCGCATCAGCGCCTTCGGAATCGGATCACTTTAAAACCTCAGCTTCCTGTTGCGACGCTTTAGAATCGATCTACGAAGGGATTTAGATTCGTTCAGGATCGCACATCGATCGATCCGTCATCACTAGCCCCCACTGGGACATCAGTGCCACCCTCCAGCTCTAAGGTCTCGATGAAAACTAAATCCAGGAATAATGGGCGTTGCTGGCGACTGTAGTGTGTGGGTTTGTTTGCAACTTGTAGCAACATCTGCAAACATAGCCTCCAAGAGAGTTGGTCCATATCGTTCAGCTGTAGCACACTTCCGGTGCCTAACTGCCATGCCACCCGAAGGTTACATGAGGGCTCGGATACTGCCAGGTTGCCCGAGCTTAGACATTGGAAGTCGAGAGGAAGAGGTCGGGTTCGAACCACAGGCCTTTCGGTCAGTAAATTCGCGCTCTAACCACTAGGATCATCTCGCCCCTACACGAAGAGGATGTACAATGTAATTAAGTTTGTCAGTCAGATGGGAGTTGGAGAAGTGGGAACCAAAATGCGTCGACTCTAGGTGGGCAATATCAGGCAATAGCAACGTCCACCGCAGAGTTATGGGGCGATCTACGTTCACGGTAAGGGCAGCCATATTAGATCGTCTTCGTCGTGGCGAGAGTAAG